AAATATGATATATATATACATACCAGTACTCCGACCACTAAAACTTACCATGGTATGCCTCGCCTGGAGGTTATTGCTGCGGCTGGGCACCACGGCGGATAAGGACTAAGCTCACCTGAGTCAGCATCAGCTGACACACTGTTAGCGAGTCGACATTAGTCGGCACAGGCCGGGCTCCCCCCATGGGCATAGCCCGGGCGAGGCTCACTTTCGCATATCAGACTTATCCTTACCATGGTAACTCCGATGACAAGTTAGTGAATGCCACTGTTGTCTGTTTACGATCGTCTAAAGTGTGTTAGGGAATCCAGCGCATGACATTCAGACAATTGTTTTTTAGTGATCGAATAATACAAAAATATTTTGAAAATACACCAAAAAACTTGTTAATGCTGCTTTAACTGCGCCGAGTTGTAGACTACCAACAGATAATATGGATCTGTTCAAGGAAAATGGTGTATAACCGTTTTGATACAGCATAACAAACAAAACAATCAAGACCTAGGAAGATGGTAAAAACAAACAAAAAAGCAAGCTTTCTTGAAAAAAAGAAAAGTATATTTGCAATAACACTGTAAAGAGGAGGCAAAGAATCACAATACCGCATAGGTTTTTCTGTGGACCGGAGCTACAAGCCACACACCCAGGAGGAATCTCCATTCAAGCAAGCCTAATGCTCGGAGTTGGGTATGTGTGGGTCGCAAGGTAATTGTCTGCAACAGGTTAGACTTACTTCTGATTCAGCCACAATTTACAAAGGTTTGATTTAATGTTTGATTTTGAACAGTACAAAATTTGAATAAATACTGAATTTGAATAACTGAATTTACCTCAGCTTATCTGTATCTGTATATTCACAACTATCTATATCCGTATTTATGGTAAGGTGAAACTGGTTTTGGGTTTATTAAACCTGTAATTTCTACCTATTCTTGATTTCCCGTTTCTAATATTTTGTGATTACTCTCCTTTTTCCATGTTAATTATGTAAAAATATTTCTTTAGTTGTTGTGGCGGGACAGCCCTGGAAAACTGTGTGATGGTAATATCGACTGTGATGATCAGGAGGACGAATCGGTCTGCGGTTGTACTCCCATGACGGAGTTCTTCAGATGTTACAAGTATGTGCAAGGTTAATGCCGTGTATCCTACAAATAACTGTAATTACTGGGATATAGGGGTAAATGAAATTGCTTTAAGAATTCCCTGTAAACAACAATTCACTTTTTGAATATCTATACTTAGTTCACTGAAGTCTGACACAAAGCTTAGCTGTGATTGGTGGATGGGAGCCGGCAAGAGTCGTCCAGGCAGGAATGACTGATCGTCGCTTACGACCCGGCAGTGACGGCTATTAATGACTTAAATTAACTGTTGATGAAAATCATATATTATTATTAACTGTTGATGAAAACTATATATTATTATCAGTATTATTATTTATTATAGTTTTCCGAAAGGGAATAAGATCATGCTGACTGCATTAATGGGATCTAGACCTGAGGCACCAAAGACCGGAGCAATCTGGGTTCACTCCTGGTAAGTCCACAATAGACCTATCCTGGCGCTTCGAGTCATTGTAGAGCGCCGTCGTGAGTTCGGACGTGGGCTGCTCGCCTACATCGACCTCAAGAAGGCGTTTGATACGGTGCATGGGAGACCCTGAGACTGAGAGGAATTCCAACAAGGATTGTTGGGCTAATAGCAAACCTGTATACAGGCACTGAAAGTGCTGTAAAGTGTGGTGGGGGCCTGTCGAGCTTCTTTCCTGTTAGTTCAGGCGTGAGGCAAGGCTGTGTTCTTGCACCAACACTTTTCAACACTGTCCAAAGTCACTGTGGAGCAACTCTGGGCAATATCAAGGTTTCAGACCTTGACTTTGCTGATGATGTTGCCATTCTTTTTCCACCCTAGTGGCGGCTCTTGATGCATTTAGCAATGAAGCGAAGGCCCTGGGGCTAGAGGTCTCCTGGACCAAGACCAAGATCCAGGATTTTGGAGGCCTTCTAGGAGACCCTGTGCAGTCGGTACGTGCTTGCGGTGAAAACATCGAAGTCACAAGGAGTTTTATATACCTCGGTAGTGCAGTTCATGACTCTGGGCTGTCAGACCAGGAAGTCAGTAGACGGATTGGCCTGGCAGCAGGGGTCATGAAATCTCTCGACAAGAGTATTTGGAGATGCGGTACCTGTGCAGAAGGACCAAGCTACGAGTTTTCAAGGCCCTGATACTGCCAGTTTTACTATATGGTAGTGAAACCTGGACGCTATCTTGTACTTTGGAATCTCGTCTCGATGCCTTTTGTAACAGATCCTTGCGCCGGATCATGGGGTACAGTTGGTGGGACCATGTGTCCAACCAACAGTTACACCGTGAGACCGGTACAAGACCTGTTACTTGCACAATCCGTGATCGCCAACTCAGGCTATATGGCCACTTGGCTCGATTTCCGAAGGATTTCCGTGGCTTGGGCAGATCGATCAAACCTGTCGTGAGGAAC